CCGTAAGCTGCTGGGATGATGGATTTGGCCCCGTGGGGGTGCGGGGAGTCGGGCTGTAGGTGAGCGAAGGGTGAGGTTTCTGGCTCGCTGAATTATTCACCTCCGTGTGCCGGCTCCGGAGGAAGCTGAGCCAGCGGCGGAATGAGTCTGAGGACAACAGCATGGACCGGGGCGGGCAGCGCTGGGGAGAAGGGCTTCAGCGCACGTCGGTGGGTGCTGAAGCACCAGCCGTTTCAGCGCACGTCGGCGGGCGTCGAGTCCCCAGCCGTGCCGTCCTGGCCTCGGCAGGCGCCGGGCTGTACGCCAGCACGTGGCTGTGCCGGCTGCGGGGGGTGACTCAGCCATCACCTGGGTTGTCCCCAGCTCACCCTGCAGGAAATGAGTCAGGTTTTTAAGGAAGAAAAATGTTAAAATGATGGGGCAAGAGTTCTTCCTGCACGGGGAAGAGGGCGGTGCCAGTCGCAGGAGGGAGACGGGGATGGAGGGTCACGGGCAATGCTCAGGTATGGAGACCTTGCTCGCCTCTGATGCTGCCTGTCACGCTGTAGCTTCTCCCCAGAGTTCGGGGGAAGGAAGGTGGGAACACCCCATAACTCATCCCACCAACAAAATCCGGGGCGTGAGCTCAGCTCTCACCTGCCCTGACAGCCAGGAGCTCCTTTCAGTCTTGCCTTGGCCCGAGATGCTCTTCCTCCTCCCAAAAGGCTGCGTGGAGAGGGGAGGAAACGGGGACTGATCCAGGGCATGGGCTGAACTGTGTGTGTCTCTTCCCCCTGCAGAGATGGACACCTTCAGCACCAAGAACCTGGCCCTGCAAGCCCAGAAGAAGCTCTTGAGCAAGATGGCTACGAAGACTATAGCCAACGTCTTCATTGATGACACCAGCAGCGAGATCTTGGACGAGCTCTACCGGGCCACCAAGGAGTACACCCACAACCGCAAAGAGGCCCAGAAGATCATCAAAAACCTCATCAAGATCGTCATGAAGCTGGGTGTGCTCTACCGCAACGGGCAGTTCAACCCCGAGGAGCTGCTGGTGATGGAACGCTTCCGCAAGAAGGTGCATACCTTGGCCATGACAGCCGTCAGCTTCCACCAGATAGACTTCACCTTCGACCGCAGGGTCATGTCGGGTGTGCTGACGGAGTGCCGGGACCTGCTGCACCAGGCTGTCAATGGCCATCTGACAGCCAAATCCCACTCCCGTATCAACCACGTCTTCAATCACTTTGCGGACTATGAGTTCCTCTCGGCTCTCTATGGGCCGTCCGAGCCCTACCGCACCCACCTGAAGAGGATCTGCGAAGGGGTTAACAAGATGCTGGAGGAGGACAACATATGAAGTTGGCCAAGATGGGCCATCAGCAGCGAATGCTGGACTCTGCCTCCTGTGAGACCGAGGACAGGACGTACGCCTGTTTTGATCATTACTGGGCTTGATGTCCTCTTCTCTGTAGTGCTCACTCACCTTCTTCTCGTTTCTGTGAAAGACTGAACTCTTGACCTTGTCTAACCCTTGCCTGGGGTCTGCAAGCCCACCCTGCGCTGGACCGAGTCCTTTGCAGGTGATCCTGGGCTTCTGGGCCCCTGCTGTACAGTTTGATTTCCTTTGCCCACCAAGTGCTCTTAGCTCAGAGTCCAAGGAACTGGGCTCCTCACCTTGAACTCCATTGTAACCCCTCTGGGGAAAAAACAAACCAAAGACTCACAGCGTGTGACACCTCTAAGGTGTTCTGAGCAGGTGGGCAGTTGGTTGGATGAACGGTTGTTGAGACCCTGTTACCAGAGGGTTGTGGAGCCCCATGGTTGTCTTTCAGCAGCTCCATGACATGGTGGGAGCAAATCATGGTCTAGGCTTCTGCTGCCCAGGGTAGGAAGGTGCTTCTGCACCTTGTAGGCTAACAGAGGATTTGGCCTCCTAAAAGACAAGTCCTTGAGACCGGAAGGATCCCACCTCACCTGGGCGAGCGGCTGTCCCTCGGGGCAGGGAGGGAGCTGCAGGGACCCGCTCCTTCCCTGCATCCCAGGTAGTCCCCTTCATCCAAGACCCAA